CCCTGGCACAGACCCCTCATATCCTGGGCTCTGTGAGTGACAGGAGCTTGACCCTCCCCCAGCCCCAGGATTTGGTCAGGGATTAAATTTGCCTCCAGCAGTCCTGAGGCTTGATTCCTCCAGGCCCTCCTCCAAATCCCCAGCACCTGCTTCTTAAGTCAAATTGTAGATGGATGATGGCCCAATCCCTCAGATCCCAAGAGATCAAAACATCTTCTCAACCATGGATACCAATATCTCCTTGCTCCTGAAAAACAGGCCCTTTGTTTTCCAGACTCCCACCAATATGTGGCTCTGAGGCCCTGGGAGGGCTTTTCTCTCTCCTCCTAACAGCCACTGATCTCAGATCTTAGCTGGAGATTATTTTCAAGCTCTATCAAAGCCCAGAACTCGCTAGTGAAAAGGGACCATGAGCCGCCTCAGCTTTGATCCTGTGTCAGTGATGCCAAGAGCTCTGGTGTAATAGAAAGGGGGTCATGGACAAGGCCAAGGGTGATATACCTGGAGGCTTCTCCCAAGAGAGGTATAGGGTCTCTGAAAGCAGAAACCAGACCCTTCCTTCCAAAGTCCACAAACCCCAACCTCTGAGATTCTAAACATTTATTTATAACATCCTCAAGCCCCCCAAACACTTAAAACATGCTTTGATACACAGATGGATTAGGTTCACCCCAGATCCCAGCAGTGACCAACCCAGGTCTCTTACTCCTCCCACTTTGGCTTTCCACACATGCGACCTCACTAGGTCCTCCAGCAGACCTGCTCATTCAGAAGCCCAGGAATGCCCTCACTGATACCAGTCAAAGCTTCCCTCAGTTCCTTCAGCCTTCACAGACAGCTCTCTTTTAAAGTTCCTCTATTCTAACCAACACTTAGTCCCCAGACCAGCAAAGTCCAGTAGAACTTTCTGCAAGGATGAAAATGTTCTCCACTCTTCAATTCTGAACATCAGGCACATGAGGTTACCACACACTTGAAATGTGGCTGGCTTCAAACCTGTGATCCCTTGGCCTCAGCCTCTGGAGTCATTGGAATTACATCACCACATCTGGCACAACTGAATTTTTAACTTTTAGTTTTCATTCCTTCCTGTTCATTAATTTTAATAGCCATACATGAGTAGTGGCTACTATATTCCACAGTATAGCCCTAGACTATATTTGTTAATACTATCCTCCAAATAGGCTTCTTGACTGGCTCTACCCCCTCCGCCCAAATTTTACAGGACTATGCATGTGGTAAGTGTTCAGCAACCTGTTAGCTATCTGGAACCATACTGGATATAAAAGAGGCTGGTTTGGTCAGGGAGACTTTCCTTGTGATTCCACCCGTCAAACCCCAATTTAAGATGCTATCCAGCCACACTGCCCTCTCTCTCACAGGTGCACAGATAAGGTGTGCTGATAGGAAGCCACCTGTACTGGGGGGATGAGGGAATTCTGGCATTTCCCCTTTTCAGTGTCCAGACCACAAGTGAGAGGCTCTAATTGTCTCCCTTTCATGATGCCAAGTAGCACTTACATGACTTGCAGAGGGAGGCCCACTGGACAAAGAAAAGAAGAATCTACATTACCTTTTTTCCTCTAGTCTATGTGATGGAAAGATAAACAGAGATCAGTTATGGCAACATTCTATATTTTGAAAGGCAATAACACCCTTCACCTAATCAGTGTTGCACAGCAGAGTAGGACAATAGTATCAACTTTAATTAAATTTACTCAGCTAATACCTGAAAGTCTCCATGACACAGTGAAGCAAGAAGCAATGGAGGAACCACATGGGGAATGCAACCAATTCACACGCAAATGAGTCCCTACCAAAGAAATAAACGAATCCCCATTTTCTCATATAAATAATAGAAAATAATATTTCTATCAAAACTCATTGGTAGAGGGGAAAAAAAAGAAAAGAAAAGCTTGTTACCACAGATTCAAAACTCATGGAGCTACTGAGTTTGGAAGCTGCCCTCCAACTTTGGAGATTGTGGTTGGAAGGTGAAAGATACTCACCCAGCAACCGCTGGCAATTGCCAAAGGAGGACCTGAGGGCAGAGTAGCTCCGCAGGCTCAAGGTACCTTGGAGTAGCAACCATCCCCATGTCCATCAATGTCACTGTAGTTAGGAAGTAAGGAGAAGCCTGAGACCAGGAGTCAGACGACCTGGGTCTAATCCTGCCTCTACCAGGTAAGTAGCTGTTTTGAAGCAAGCCACTCCTTCAATGTGGGTCTTGGTTTTCTCATCTGCAAAATGAGGGGGTAGGATGAGATGACCCCATGAGCCCCTTCAAATTCTGCCTGAAGTATGGGTACAACTAAGAACTTGATAGAAGAGATGATGGGGAGAAGTCACAGCACCCACTGAAAGAATTTAAGCATCTGCCCTCCAAGATGAAGGTGAAGCAAGGTGAAGGTAAAGAAGCAGCAGGGTAAGTTGGGACCATTTTTAAAGCACTGATTTCACTTAACAGGGCAAAGAGGTCACTAGGCCACAGGGTATCCAGGCAGCCACCACCTCCCATCAACTCCCAGGGCTACAAGATAGCAGACTTTGGAAACCTCATTAGAGCCTAGCAGTTGGCCTCAGCCTTACCTAAGGCTTCAAGAATGGGCTCAGCACACATGTGAAGGAAGGTCTCCTGCCTCTTTCTTAGGTACCTTTCCAATGGAATCACCAATCCTGCCTGTCCCACCACATCTTCCTTCCTTGCTTTATAATCAAAATACCCCTGGTTTTGAAAATTATTTCACTATTCAGCACCTAAAATTAGTCAAAATCTAAGATCTGGACATCTCTTTGGTGTATGTCTCTAGAACAGGATTCTTTGAACCAGATTCCCCCACAGCTGTAATTATGTCTTAGCCAATATTTGGATATGAAAGTGCTGTTGACACTGCTGTCAGTCTCCAAATGCCTCATCCTCCTTTCTTCCTCTATTATTAAGTTTTAACACAAAGCTGTGTGGGAAATCTACAATTTAACAGTTGAGTCAACTTCTAAGATCTGGAAGCAAGGTGCCTGTCAAAACAGCAGTCTCTGACTTCAATCTACACCCACTTCTACCTGCAGAAAAATAAGCTATGAGTGTTATTTAATATACTCGCTTTTTTCTTTCAAAAATATTCAAAGAAAAATTCCCAAACTTCTCTCTTATTAGTTACAACAAAAATCTGAATTGCCACCCAAAAGCATTTTAGAGGGTGTGTGTCTATTAAATAGAATAAGAAACAGGAGTTGAGAGCTTATATTCTGAAGTCTTTATATTTTTTCCAGCTAACCAAGAGAACGAACAGCCAGACTGCTGAAGCTGAAGGTACATGGCATCTCAAAAGAGACAGAAAACTCTGCAGGAAAGAATGTCTGTCACTTCCTCAACAGCACAGGTTAACTGTGGTCAAATTATATTCATTCACCTCTAATCTCCAAGGTCAGAGCCATGGTCCATCCAAATACCTTTCCACCTCTCCCCTTAGTAGCTAGTATGGAAAAAGAAGTCAAAGGCACACATAGTACAGTGATCAAGACACTGATAAATTCCCTCTCCAACAGTCAACATTAAGCAACAATTGAGATCCCAGGACAGAAAAACTTAAGAGTAAAAACCAAAGAAATCTGTTAGCACTAAGGATGAAAGCAGAAGGAAAATAGAGACTTTAAAATCTAGAAATTGGACATGACTGCTTTATATATATATATGATTATATATGCCAGTCATTTCACCACAACTCATATCTGGGTTTAATGTTTGATAACTGAAATACAGCTAGCTGTGTGGGCTGAAAGGGAAGAGGAAAATATAACACAGGAAGTATTTCCCTCCTCCAATCATTAAGACACCCCAGGGGAAAGAGACCTGCCCTGTCACCTTTGGAGATGTGGTTGGACCTGAAACACTTCTGAGAAGTGAACCTTTTTGGTGACCCTGAACGACCGGCTCACACTCCATCACATCAGACCTCCAAGTCCATTCCGTTTAACTTCTGAAGTAAGTGGTGTTGCCACGAATCCCCATCTCTCCCTCCCATACCCCCTCCAAAAAAAAAAAAAAAAAAAAAGAAAAGAAAAGCTTGGGTTTCCCCAGTCCAAGAATAGCGTTTCCTCCTGCTGTCCATCACTCACCCGAGGCTGGGACCTAAGAGGCTGTCTCGGGTTTGCGGAATCAGCGCCTGGCCAAGCTGAAGCTTGTAGACTGGGTTTACAAAGACCAATGGAGCTATGGAAACAGCAGACAACGCGCCCCGTAGCCTGCTAGCCTCCCATCTGGGGCCTCACAGGCACTGGAGGTAGGAGGGGGCCTGCTCCGGGATCAAAACAATCCCTCCCCCGCGCGCGGAGGACGGCGTCCCCGCGGAATCTCCAGCCCCGCGCCTCCTGGGCGGGTGCGCCCCACCGCGGCACGGCCGCCCTCGCAAGGCCCAGGGAAGTGAAATCACACATTCCGCCTCCCAAATAAGGAGCGAGGCTAAATAAACCTCTGAGATCCGACTTCTCCAAACCAACCGACCAACCAGCTCAATGAGTAATGGGTCTTTTGTGCCCGCAGAAAGAAAGAATGGAGGGAAGGAAAGATTAGGAGCCACAAGCCCCGAGAATCACTTCCTTGAGATCTGGTGAAATAAGCAGAAGTGGTCCCGAAGACAGACCGTTGCGACTCGGCTGGATCCCGCTCAAACCCCAAAATGGCAGAGTCCCCACGAGTCCTCTAGAGTCCCCGCCACTCACTCCCGGAGGTGACCGGAAACTCGGTCTCCGTGGCGAGGTCTGCCGGGACCCGACCTTCGCCGTCACCCTCCAGCCTCTCGTCCCGCCCCTCGGGGCACCTCGGGCACCCTGACCGGGCAGCCCCGCCGCGGCCCCACAGTCGCCGGGGACACCCTGTCCGAGGTGAGGGTCAGCACCCAGCGCTGACCGCCCGTGCACTGCGGCCGCTTCAGCGAGCTGGGGATCCGTTCCCGGAACCCCTTTCCGACCTCGTCCTCCCCTTCCCCGGGCCCCAGACCTACTTTGAGAGCGAATTTCTCCTGGGTCCTCTTGTTGAAGATCTGCAAAACTTTCCCGTTGATGCCCAGTCCCAGGACCTGGCTGGTGACCTTGTAGTCGTCGATGATGGCGTTCTTCTTGATCTGCAAGCTCGACTTGACGTGGAACTGGGGGAACTGCTGTGGGGGCAGCGGCGGTGGCTGGGCCGGGGCGGGGGGCTGCGGGGGCGGCGGCGGCGGGTTGGGGAACAGCACCGGCGGGGTCTGGCCTTGGGAGTTGGACAGCATGGTGCCCGGAGACGCGGGCGCAGAGGCGGGAGGGCCCGCGGCCGCCCCCTCCTCCGGCTCGGGACGGGGTCCCCGCCACCCCCCGCCCGGCTGCGAAGTTTGCTCCGGGCTGGAGCCGGCTTCCCCGCCCCGGCCCGGCTCCAGGCTCGGCGGGTCGCGGGGCTCCGTGGGTCCCGCCGTGCGCCGCTGGCGCCCACCGGCCCAGTTCCCTCCCTCCCTCCCTCCCCCCGGGGGCCTGGCGCTCCGGGGAACGCGGGACGGCGGGGGCCCGGCCCGGGGGGAAGCGGCCGCGCGACAATATACCCAGCCCCGGGGCCGGCGGCCGCGTCACAGGCTCGTCTGCGTCCGGGGCCGGTCCTTAAAGGGGAGGTTCAGGGGGGTGGGGCTTGGGGAGGCGTTGGTGTGGGGGAGGGGCGCGCCTTAAAGGGGAGGATRCGAGGCTCCGGGGAGAGGAGGGAACCCTGCTGGGCTGTGGGGGTAGGGGCTAGGGGCTGGAGGCTGGAGGTTCAGAGACATGAGAGGGAACGAAGAAATCCTAGTTTTTAACAGAAGACACGTAAAGGAAAGGGAGTCCTATGAAAGTCACTCATTCCGATGGAAAATCTACTGTTTTCCAAGTTGTCTGGACCTTTTAGACAGCAGCAAAGAATAGGGAGAGGGGCTGTAGTTTGAAGGAGAGGGATGACTGGTAAGAATGCTGCTAGATAAGACCTCAAGGGTGAGATGGAGTTGCAGAGGCCATTCATTCCAGGAACAAGTGTCAGGCAAACATTCAGTTGTTTTCCTAACTGGAACATTTTCCTCTAAGTTTTACATCTCTTTTCTCATTACTGTTTTCAGTAAAGATTTATTACCCTGTAACCATGAACAATGTAGTAGTTGTGCCTTGGAACATATTTATGTAAATAAACTGAAAGGAACACAGGATGAGAAGAGGATGAGTGAAGCTAGAGGCGGCCTGAATTCTACCCCCCCCCTCCCCAGCCTTCCCTGTTGATCTGCTGTGTGATCCTAAACACCTCTGGCACTTCTCTCTATGGGAAGAACAGCTGTATCTTTTCATATACTTCTGGACAGAATCCGATGGGATAATGTAGCAAAGGGGAAGCTCTGGGAAATGGTTCTGATTTCCAATGTGGAAAAATTAGTCCCTGAGCCTACAGCTATAAGGAGAAGTGGGTACTGTTAAAGAACTTTGCCTACTTCTAAACTGGGTTAACMAACCCCAGGTCTCTAAGGAAGATACCAAAGATCTAGCTGAACCCCATAGCATAGTCTAGTTCAGGAAGGGGACTGGGGAGGCCCAGACTTTAAACTGCCAGAGGGTCTCTACACACATTGTGGTGGGATTTGGGGATGATCATTAAATACATTCCTGCTGGCCTCCCTGCTTTTACCAGTAAAACAGTTGAGAAATGAGACAACGGGAATAAAACAAGTGAGGACAAAACCTCAACTTAATTATAATCCTGCCAAATTAGAGAATGAGGCTTGACCTATAGCCACACATGGCCCCTAATATATACCAACAAAACTCTGGAGAGAAGAGAGCATCCTTTAAAAAGAGCCCATGGGGACACAGTCCTGGTGGGTAAGGCACAGGCACAAATGTCTCCTTCCTCCTCGGGACTCAAGAATGAAGGATGGAGTGAAATGCCAGAGTCACCCTCCCAGATCTGTCCCTTCCAGGACAGCAGGGCTCACCCATGGACCAAAGAGGAAAATGATTTCACTAATATAAATAGCTGCTCTTGTCAAGCAGCACTTATTTAGTGCCTACTGCATACAAGGTGCTATGCTTACCCCTGAGGTTATGAACAGTATTAATCTGGTGGCGAAGGAGACAGATGCAGGCAGACCTGGGAGGGGAAGGCGGAGGGATTCAATTCTGTCTGCAGCTGCCCAGAGCTTCCTCCTAGGCTGCAGGATAGGTAGGGGTCCAGGGCCCTGGGATTCCCCCGATTCTTCAAAGACTCTAACTTAGGCTACAGGGAATGGAAAATGCTGTGGCCTTGCCAGTTCTGCAGATTGCTGTCCCATCCAGGAAGCACACACAAAGATGTCCCGGGCCTGAGGAAGGAATATAGGGATAAGGAAGAGGAAGGCTTCAACTGCTCAGACTTTTCCTCAGGTGGAAGGGGGTCCCTGGTGTGGTCTGCCCAGGGCTCTGAGTTGGTCCTTTGCAGAAATTCACTGGGGCCTTCCTGGTACTTGAACCAACTCCTTTCCACAAGGCTGGAAAGAAAATAAGTTCATTTGCCCTTTCAGAGGCGGCAAGGTACACTGGGAAAACCACAGAATCCAGGGTCGAATAAGCAGAAGGGTCTCYAGACACATTATCTTTGAGAAGCCACTTAACCTCTCTGTATCCGGAGGGTCGGAGGGGGGTGGGGGGAATCTACTTTCAGGGATGAGTGAGAATTAAGTGAGAGTATTTATGAGAACTTTTCATAAAGCATAGCTATCAGTTATCATGCTATATTAAATATCACCATTGCTCAGGCATGATTGGCTTGCTCCTCTACTCTGTGTCCGATGCTTAGGGACCTGTCCCTGACTCAAAACCACCATTCTACCTACATGGAGTTCTGGGGAGATGCTTTGCACTTCTTCTGGCCTATAGAAAAGTATTTCATTTATCATTACAATAGCACTGTGAGGTAGGCAGGGCAGATGTTATTATCACTATTGTACAGATGAGAAAGAACAAACTGGGGTGCAAGGGGCCTTCACGTATCTAACCAGTATCAGAAGAGAACTTACCACTCAGGATCTCTTGCCGAGGGTTTCCTCCTGCAGTTCATCCCCTCAGTTATCATCCAGTAGGCATTTGTACTGTTATATGCCAGGGCACWTTGTACTTCTGTGTTGCATTCATGTACATGTGTTTTCTGAGTATTTATTGTGTGTACAGTCTCCACACACTGCATTATGTATCCTGGGAGTCTTCTATGGCCCATTTAGCCCTTGATAACTCTAGGAGGAATCCCCAGCTGGGTTTCGATTGACCAATTATTCCTAGGTCATCAGGCTTCTGCATCTCTGGGCCATCTGTTTATGAACTACTTAAAAAACTTCCAAAATTGGAAGTCTAGGTTCAATAGTACATGCGTGTAATCTCAGCAATTCAGGAGGCTGAGGCAGGAGATCACAAGTTCAAGGCCAGACTCAATTTAGTGAGACTTTCTCAAAATAAAAAAATTTAAAAGGCTGGAGATGTAGCTCAGTGGCAAAGCATCCCTGGGTGCACTACAAAAAAAAAAAAAAAAAAAGTTGGAAGTTGGAATGGAGATGTAGCTCAGTAGTGCAGCACATGCTTAGCACATGTGAGGTGTTAGATTCAATCTCCAGCACCTTGCACACAAAAACAGTTGAAATCTATACAAATAGATTTCTATTTTTGTCTACTGTTGACACACAAACACACAATCCCTGCAAGACAGCACACACAAAGGCAATTTAAGAAACTCAGGGATATAGAATTGGATTAATTATAATCCTCAGTTCATGATATAACTTGGTCATTGGATCATTGGATCTATTTAGTAAGTTTCAATAATGCAGTAGGCATCTGTGAACCACTACTCAAWATAAGAACCAGGAATTTGACAATAACATACACTGAAGGAGATGATTCCTCTACCTTCAAGCCATCCTTGCATATGTTACTCAAAATAACCATTATCCTGAATCCTATGCTCATTTTTCCCTTTTATGTAGTTTTATTTCATGAAGATGTTTGAAGGTATTATAAAAAGATGGAACTCAAAGTGTCTTAAAAAGGAAGATAGACTAGGAATTTAGAGAGCCCTCACAAATTCAGTGAGACTCTGTCTCATAATAAAACATACAAAGGGCTGGGGATAGGGGCTAGGGATGTGGCTCAAGCGGTAGCGCGCTCGCCTGGCATGCGTGCGGCCTGGGTTCGATCCTCAGCACCACATACAAACAAAGATATTGTGTGTTTCTCTCTCTCTCTCTCTCTCTCTCTCTCTCTCTCTCTCTCTTAAAAAAGAGGGGGCTAGGAATGTGCCTCAATGGTTAAGGAGGAGGAGGAGGAGGAGGAGGAGGAGGGGAGAGAAGAGATAAATGAGTGACTTCATCAGCAAGATGCAATTAAAATAAGAAAACATCCTGGCATAGTTTCAAAGTATCCTCCACCTTCTCATGGTGATGATGATAACGATGATGATGACAATGATTATTGAGTGACCAACACTGTGGTCAGCTCTCTAGTTGCCTTGTCTCGGCTAAATCTCATAAGGATCTGTAGCTGAGATTGTTAGCTCACTCCCCAAGATAATGCCTATTTTTCCCCTCTTTGACCATGAAGAACCCCCAATATTTAGCTAAGCATGAGACTACCTGAAATAAAACACACTTCCCAATTCCTCAAACTCCATTACTACTGATTGCATTCATGAGATTTAATTTCTGACAATGACTTGTAAATGGAAATAGTTGAGGAAAAGAGATGGCTCTTCCTCCCTCTCCTCTTTTCTCCTTCCTGTTGGCTGGAAAGAAAATTTAATGGCTAGTGCTTGAGCAACCCTCATTGTCCATGAAGTAGACTACAGGTTGTGGATGGGAAGCACAGATCCATCTTCTCAGCCCTGAACCGCCTACCCACACTTTTATAAGAAAAAAAAAAAAAGTATCCTTATTAAAGTGACTTATGTCCTAGGTTTTCTATCACTCACAGCTAAATCTTATCCTAACTAGAACTCAACCTCATGAGGTATGTACTTTTATCCTCACATATGTACTATATAAAGGAGAAAAACTGAGTTCTAGAGAAATTAAATAACTCTCCAAGGGTCATTCAGTTATGAAAGGAAAAAATTCAAGTATTTCTGACCCAAAGTTCATATATATGTCCTCTACTAAAAGTCCTGAGCAGAAATATAACCGCATATTCTTCTTGATGTCTGAAATATGGTGCCTATCATTCCTGGGCAGGAATAACCTAAGAGGTTTAGACTACACTTGCTGTTTTAGATCAACTCTCGCACACCCCTATTTCCCTCAATCTTGGCCTAATCTATTACAGAGCTTAGGTCTGTGTTCATTTGTACGGCTGGGTGCTATTACAGGAGTCCATGATAATCTCTCTATCAAAACTTCTCCACCCTGCCTTCACACCATCAAGGAGTATACATTTCCTAATTTACTATGATGTGGCATTATGGGTGGACGATCGAGAGTAGAAATCTGTGGAGGTGGATTTCTTGAAAATGTCCAGATAGGATCTCTGGATGAGATAGTCATTTATAGGCTAGTGGACCTTAGACAAGATACTGCAGGATAGGATGTCCTCTGAAATCTCATCCTTGAAAAGTTCAATGACTTGACGCCAAGGAGAGATAAGCAGTCTTCATGTCATAGGCTAGTATTTCTTAGATAAAAATGAAAAATTTTCCAAAGAAACAGTGACAGATACTAGGAATCATTAGTCACAAAAATTTCTGATCCAGAAAAATGACTTCACTACTTTAGTCTCAATGATATCTGTCATCCCTTCCATCATACCTCTTCTGAAGGTGCTAAGGGCTTATTACCCAAAGTGTCATCAACAATGCCCTTCATGAGAACATTCCTGGGCCAAAGAAATGCTCTGCTCTTCCATTGGCAATGCCCTTGTCTGTACCAATCCTTTCGACCGTTTAAGCCACAGCAAGGAGCAGCTGTAGCAGTGGTTAGGAATGAGAATGGAAAGAGAAAGAAGGAAGTACCCAAAGGGAACGGAAACTTTACCTCTGCACATCAACAGACATAACATGGTCTAAAGGGACTACAAACGAGACTAATTAGGATTATAGGATGCCTAATTATGATCCTGCCTATTAGTAGGAGATGTATAGGTGAGAGAGGCAAATATCCACATGGATTCAAGAAGGTTCAAGGCTGTGTTCCCATGCTACAGGTTCTGCCCCCATCTATCCTATGTCTGGCACATCACTTGCCACTCAGATAAACATGCAACCTGGATAATAAATTGGGGAAGGGAGAAAAGAAAAGGGAACTTGCTGTCCAGGAACACAACCAGGGTGGGTCAACTGAAAAGATCAGTCAGCAGATCTTGCTGGGTGACCAAGTAACGCCTGGGATTTTTCTCCTTTCTTAGGATAAATAAATGGAAGTGAGAGGGAAGAGATGTCCACGTGTGTACAGGGAATGAGGAGTTTTCCTAAGGGTAGAACGAAAAATGAGAACATAATTTTGAGGTAGCAGAGCATACAAGAATCAAGCCTAGGGTTCTGATCCTAGCAGCACCACACTATTTCTTTGAATAATAAAGGAGGAGATCGTATTCCCTAGATTTAATAGATGAACAACATTTTGGACTGTTCTTGACACAAGGTAATTGGCTTTTGTAAATGTGAGCTATTGTTATATGATAGGTGCTCTCATAAGAATCATCCCATCCAATCCTCTTGACAATGCTCTAAGTGGTATTATTTCTGCTGTTTTCATCCTGAAAAAAATACTATGGTTCAGATCTGAGTCAGTGGTGCAGGTTTGTATTCCCAGCTACTCAGAAGACTGAGGAGGCAGGAGAATACCGAGTTCAAGGTCAACCTCAACAACTTACTTAGAAACTGTCTCARAATTAAAAAAATAAAAAATAAAAACAATTGGGGATTTAGCTCAGTGATAAGAATCCCTGGATTCAATGTCCAGTACTAGAATTTTTTTTAAATGTGGCTTAGAAAAATCAAGTAATCAGCTGTCATAGTTTAAATCTTGAATGTCCTCCGAAGACCTATGCTTGGTTCTCAACCCATGGTGCTATTGAGAAGTGGAGGGGCCCTTAGGAAGTGGGGCCCAAAGGGAGGTTTTAGGGTCACTGGGACTGTGTCCTCAAAGAGGATTGTGGGACACTAGTCTTTTTCTCTTTCTCTTTCCTTCCAACCACAAGGTAAACAGGTCGCCTCAGTGGTATGCTCCCCACCAGGATGTACTACCTTGCCTCGGGCCCAGAAGTAGCAGGGCCAACCACCATGGACTGAAACCTCCAAAACTGTGAGCCAAAACAAACATTTCCTTTTTTAAACTTGATTATCTCAGGGTTTTTGTTTTGTTTTGTTTTGTTTTGTTTGTTTTTGTTTTGTTTACAGTAATGGAAAGCTAGCTATCACACCAGCCAAAGTCCTTCAACAACTGGAGGGGCAAATCAGAATTCTAATGCCCTTGTCCAAAAAAGAGCATTGGTTGGAATTCTGATTCATCCCTTCTGGTTGTAGAAAGTCATTTAAGCAGTAATGARTGAGAGATCCTAGCATTTCTAAGCTTTTGAGGAAGGACCTAAACAGATGAGGTATATGTTATATATTCAGGTTGCACATCCCTTATCTGAAATGCTTGGGACCAGAAGTGTTTTAGATCTAAGAGGTTTTTTTGTTTGTTTTGCTTTGTTTTATGGGTTTGGGAATATTTTGAGTGTTCCTAATTTTGAACTCCAACAAAATCCACAATATTCAAAAATTTGAAGCCTTTTGAGCATCTTGTCAGGGCTCAAAAAGTTTGGATTTCATATTTTTGAATAAGGATGCTCAAGCTGCACTGTTTTGTTCTTGCTCATCCCATGACGGATAAGGTAGGAGCTAAGCTTTCCCTGACATTTCTCATAAAGTTGTGAAAACTGCAACATTGTAGAGATTAAAAGGATACACRGAGATTTCCTCATTTGTCCCCTTCCTCCTCCAAGGACCACATGTACACCATCATATAGGCAGGTGTGTGACCTTAAAAACTCTCAACTCACAAAATTTCTGGTGCCTTTTTACACCACAAGAGGAAGTTCTGGTTTTTGTGTGGTCCTTGTAGCATACGTTACGGGCAAGTCCCTTTCCTTCCTAGAAGTGCATTCATTGATTCTGAGGAAAGATTGACCCATGGCCCTGGATAAATGTCTAGAGCCTCCTCCAGTTGGGTAGTCTGAGACCTGCATCTACCCCCCCCCCATTAACTTCCTGTCCCCTTTCATGGCAACAAACATTGACTGAGCACCAGTTAGTGTGAGATGTGCTGGGAATGCCAGACACCTGTATTGTATGGGTCMCCTAGTGGAGGTGCTGGACAACTCTAAGTGCTTTGTCACACCACACACATATGTACATATGGTGGTCAAAGGTGTGTATATATGTAAACTATACACAAAATTTACCATTTAACCATTTTTCAACACACAATTCAGTAGTATTGAGTCCATTCGCATTGTTATGGAACCATCACTACCATCTACTTCCAGAATTCTTTTTATCTTGCAAAAACTGAAACTCTATCTATTAAACAATAGCTCCCATTCTCCCCTCCTTCCAGCCCCTGACAACTACCATTTGACTTTCTATCTCTATGAATTTGCATATTTACCTCGGATAAATGAATTCATACAATAGTTGGCCTTTTGTTCTGGCTTCTTTCTTCAGCATTATGCTTTCCAATCCATCCATGTTGTATCCTGCATCAGAATTTCCTAAGGCTGAATGTTATTCTGCTCTACGCATATACTGCATTCTGTTTATCCATTCATCCATCAATGGGCACTTGAGTTGCTTATTTGCTGCTGCAAATAAGGTCAGTATGAATGTGTGTACACCTATCCATTTGAGTCTTCACTTTTAATTCCTATGGGTATATCCCCGGAAGTGGGATTGCTAGATCATGTGGTGATTCTATGTTTAACTTTTTGAGGAAGCTACCTAGTGTTTTTCCATAACAGCTGCACCATTTTACATTCTCACCAGCTGTGCACAAGGGTTTCAGAATCTCCACACTTTAGCCAACTCTTGTTATTTATTTTTGTTATGTTTGTTTTATTAATAGCATCCTAGTGGAAGTGGCCTTGAAAAGGATTAAGCACGGTGCTCCAGCACTCAAAAATGGAAGAGATTTATCTAGGAAGCCCAAAGGAGTGACATTTACCTGAGCCTCGAAAGATAAGCAAGAATTCTTCAGGAAGAGGAGGAAAACCACACAGGAGAAAGAGCTTAACATGCACTCAGAAGTGGAGAGAGACGAAAATTTGTATGGCCTATTTAGAAGCACAAGTAGGGTCAGCACGGCCTGGGCTGGAATGTAGTTTATAGGGCAGAATGTCAAGATGTGAGGCATGAGCCAGGTACAGTGGTCTATGCCTGTAATCCTAGCGGTGAGGGAGGCTGAGGCCCAAGGATCACAAGTTCAAAGCCAGACTCTGCAAAAGTGAGGTATTAAGGAACTCAGTGAGATCCTGCCTCTAAATAAAATACACAATAGGGCTGGGGATGGGGCTCAGTGGTTGATTGCCTCAGAGTTCAATCCCCAGCAGCCCACCACCAAAAAAAAAAGAAAGAAAGAAAAGATGTGAAGCATGAGACAGAGTCAAGAGCTAGAAATTCCACTCAGGTTTTGGACTTTGGAAAACGGGGAGATATTGGTAATGTATATGAAAGTGCTGTATAAATTGTAACATTTTATGATGTAAGAATTTAGAATGATTAAATATGTAGTTCAGTGGCATTATTACCGCCACATTATGTGGCCCTCACCACCATTCATCTCCAGAACTCTTTTCATCTGGAAAAACGGAAACTGTACCTGTTCCACAATGGCTCCCTTTCCCCACCAGCATGATGCCCAGGAAGTGATGGCAGTTTCTGGCACCTATCTGGTAGGACACTGGCTCCCCAGGGTGCTGAAACTGGTCCATTCCCTCCCTGTTGGCTCCCAAGTACAAAGGTAAGTGAGTAGCACAGATGGTCCACCCCTGTTAACTTTTCAGGGTCAGAAAAGGATACTGCTGTCCTGTACCTGGGAGAGTTGTGGCCTTTCAGGCAGTGAGGACCTCCCTCCTGGCTGATGGCACACAACATCAGGGCCCCATATTATAAGATTCTGAGTCACTCAGACTCAGAAAATCTTTAAGCCAAGCCACTACCCACCTTTGACAGTCCCTTCTCAGCCTACCTTACTTGGTCCAAAGGATGCCATCTTGATGCTGTTGTCTCACTGTCCCTTCTGCCATGAGGACAGAAGTAAAAAGATGTTCTTTGTATTTGATCTATAAGAAATGTACGAATCTTAGAATTTTTTCTTTGTATGCATGTGTGTTGTTTTGTTTCATTTTGTTTTAAAATTTTTGATACATGCTCATGGTACAAAATACAAAAAGTCAAAATGTTGTATATAGTAAAATGTCTTTTTCTCTTCCACCCAAACCACCCCCAACCCCAGTCACACAGTTCTCCCCCCAGTTTTCTTCTTGTATCCTTCTAGACGTATTTAAGTCAGTCCAACTTATCCACCCAGGAATTAGCAGAGATTATGTTTGGCCTAAATCCCAGGAGATTTGATCCTATGGTCAGAAGTCACATTGTTAAGAGGAAAATCTTGGTCCAGGCCATGCACGCAAAGTCAGACGCTCTGATAGCCCAGYGCAGCCCCTGTTCCCGAGTTCCTGGGATCAAGGCACCTCACAGGAATATGAGGCTTCTCCTGGCATCATTGAGAGAAGTGTACCTGAGAATTCTCCTGATGGAGGGATAGAGTAGGAGTTGGGCACATGAGAAAGGAAGAAGGGAGACCAGTTCTGAAAAAGGAGAGATGGAGAAGGACACTACTCTGGTCATCTCCCCAGAGCTGACTGATTAAACATTTGTATTTGAAGATCAAGCTGGTGCCAAGTCCCCTCTAACTCAGGCCAAGAATGACCAGAAGGGGAGCCAAGAGGGGCCTGTGGGCAGCCTCTCCYCTAGGCCTTCCCCAGGCAGGTCAGGGCTGAGCAGAGGTGTTTCTTCATGTCTTGGTGTAATCATAGCTGCCTGGCCAGGGCTCCCGCCCGCGTCACTGCCCAGGAATCTGGTTCTTGTTTACCATGAAGAACTGTGGTTATTACAGAACCCAGTGGCCCTACTCCAGCTTCCCAGAGAGCTTATAGAAGAGCTCAAGACTCCGACAAGGAGAATTGATGAGTAGGAGATCCAGTGAGCTACCCAGGATCCTAGCCCTCCCAGGGCTTCCTTACCAAGACAGGGACCAGAGGGATTCCAGGACCTTCCCCTGCCAAGACACCTCGGGCCTCTTCCTATAGAATTGGGAAAAGAAAAAACAGGGAAGCAGGAGAAAACAAAGTAGAAAATGGGCAAGAAACCAGGAAGAACTGAGTTCAGTGTGACAGTACCTATCGTGTACTTGCTTTGTGTTAGGTGCTGGGTATAGTTCCGTGGTGGAGAGCTTCCCTCGCGTGTGTGAGGCTCTGGGTTGATCCCCAGCACCACGCCACCAAAAAAAAAAAAAAAAAAAAAAAAAAAGTAACAGAAGCCTGGAAAGGGTGTGGACTGTGAACCCTCTGACATTTATGTTCTGCTAACCTTGTCTCTATCCCCAGTGGCTTGCCAAATGTCTGTCACATAGTATGGCACTTGTATATTTGCTGGATGAATGAATTGGAGGCTGGTGAATGGCAGACAAAGGTAAATAAAGAAAGGTTGGGACAACATTTAGTTTCTGAGATGACTGTGGTCCCGTGTGTTGACTCCGTCCATGCTCCAGAAGAGCCCTACCACGTATGACTAAAATCCTTCCAGGGGCCCAGATGAGGACACTGGGGCCCAGTTCATCTAAATGATTTCAAGTAAGGCTTGGAGAGGGGGATSTGAATGCAGGAAGCAAGGACCCAACACCATGATCTCCAAATGGAGAGATCTGCAGCTGTTTGGGGACAGAGAGCTCCGTAGTAGAGGTTTTCTTCAACCAKTTCCCCTGCCATGATTCAGATCCCCATCTCAACCCCCAGATGTGCATCTATGGACCCCTATTCTATACTCAGAAAGCCCAGCAGACATGAAGACTATCATTTCTGTCATGAATGTCATGCAGACCAAATGCATCACATATGTCATGTGTCATTTTTGTCCCACATGTCATTTTTAGCTCCTGTAACATTTTTTTCATGGTGTCACCATTTTCTGCACATGTCACTAATCACACCTGTGTCATCTTTCTCACATATGATTTTGGTAATGTGTCTCCTTTTTTGCCTGTATGTCATGTCTCACAAATGACACAAGTGTCATTTTTCTCAATGTCTTTTGTTTATTTGTTTGTTTGTTTTGGGGATTGAGCTCAGGGGCTCTTGATCACTGAGCCCCATCCCCAGCCCTATTTTGTATTTTATTTAGAGACAGGGCTCATTGAGTTCCTTAGAGCCTCACTTTTTCGGAGGCTGGCTATGAACTCACAATCCTTCTGCCTCAGCCTCCTGAGCCACTGAGATAACAGGCGTGCACCACCACACTCAGCCCCTACTTGTCATTTTTCACATGCATGTCACAGGCACCATTTTGGTGTGTCATTTGTGCCACCTGTCACACGTGTCATTCCGTGTGTCATGTAAAATGTGTTTTGTGGGGGCCATTTTTTATCCATGTCATTCTTCATACTTTTCACCTACGGCATTTTTGCATGCACTTCATTTTTGTCACAGGCCACATGTATCCATGACATAAGTGACACATGTGACAGCAGTGGCACACAACTTTTGTCTGTGTCACTTTTGTCATGCATCTTCTGTATCATGTGTTGCTTTCAACATGTGTCACATGTGTTGTGTGTCAGGTGTGACCTGCTTAGTATGTTTCATGTATTCTAATAAGTTGTATCATGTCATGTCAGGTATATCAGGTCAGGTTCTGTTCTGTTACTATTTTATGCTATGTCGTGCTGTTTTTGTGGTAAGAACACTTAACACAGGGGTGAGGTTGTGGCTCAGAGGAACAGCACTCGCCTGGCATGCATGAGGCACTGGATTCGATCCTCAGCACCACATAAAAATAAAATAAAGATATTGTGTCCACCTACAACTAAAAAGTAAATGTTAAAAAAAAAACACTTAACATGAAATTTTCCCTCAGCAAATCTTTAAGTGGACAAAACATTATTGACTTTAGATTCAGTGTTGTGCAGATGTCTAGAGTTTATAATCTTGCTTGCCTGAAACTTTATGCCCATATTCTACTGACTTCCTATTTCTCCCTCTCCCTAGCTCCTGGCMGTCAACAGTCTATTCTTTGATTTCATGCAATTGACTTCAAAGACCTTAAATAAGTGGAATCTACRTAATATGTCTTTCTGTGACAGGCTTGTTTTACTTAATATAATTTTCTCAAGGTTTGTCCACATTATCTTATAATGAGACATTTCCTCTGGTATCCCATTTTTTAAGTCCATTCCTCTATTRATGTACATTTAGGTTATCTCTACATCTTGGCTATTATGAACAGTGCTACAATAAACAATGAGTACAACTACGTATTTTCTTAAGCCAAGATTTTAAAATACTAATTTGTTCAAGATTTTGGTGTGAAAGATATAAAAAGATGTGGGCCCCAGGGACCAGGACAGAAGCGCAATGTCTTGAATGGGTAAAGTGCTCTCTCCTTCCTCTCTTTCCTCCCCTTCCTTAACACCTCCTCCTCCTCCCTTGTTCTGTGGATATTATTCAAATGAGRAGGTATTTCTGAAACTCCAGTTTGTTTCATTTACTCCCCACACAGCTGTCTGCTCTTTTATTCCTGGGAAGTTGAGCTTCCAAGGTACTATGAAAATCAGGTCATTTTCACTGTTTTTCAATGTTTCCAGAGGCCAGAGTGCCACAAATGGAATGTCAACATGGGATAATTGCATTGGCCCTGACWTGCTGTTTTCGGACTACCATTTATCCATAATCGATTCCTGAGGAAAAGACAAAGGACATGAATAATCAACCAAGCAGATGGAGTGTCAGGCAGCCAGGCCAGGAGAGAAAACACGGCTCCCTGAAGAGAGAAGGAAGAAAGGCCTCTGGCCCTTGGAATGTGTCCACTGTGGGGAAAAACTGGCTGGAGAAAGGCGCACGGCTCAGACCTGACCTGGGCAGATAAGATGTGTGTAGCAGGAGCTAAGTGATCAGTGGCCTTGACCTTTTACACCTCTGACGGCCATGGGGAGCTCTCTGTAGGAAATGGGGAAGGAAGTAGTAAGGAAGCACCCCAAAGATATCACATGAAGGGGAAAAGACAAACATTAGAATAAGGCTGAAAGATCACCGAAAGTTCTGGAAACCACGTATTTAGAGACACTCCTTGTAACACACACACACACACACACACAAACACACACACACACACACACACACACACACACACGGTAGAGGTTGCCAGAGT